AATTCCAGCTGGAATTGTCTGGAATTCCATCTGGAATTCTGGCTGGAATTCTCTGGAATTCCGGCTGGATCCACCCCGGGAACATCGAGTAAATCCCATTTTCCCTTTTTTTCCCCCCCTCCCCAAATCCCCATTCCCGCTTTTTTCCCCCCTCCCCGTTCCAGGGATTCTCCCGGCTGGATCCGACCTTCCCTTCCCCCGCCCATTCCCGAATTCCCGGGAACGGCCCTGGGGAGGCTCCCGGCGGATTTGGGGCGAATTCCGGGGATTTTGGGGCGCGGGGAGCGGCAGCGGTCGGGGTTAGTGAGCGCCAAGCGAGCGGAGCGGGGCGGCGACGGGAATTTGGGGGCTGGAAAAATCCCGGGAAGGAATTCCGGGAGATCCCGGGGTTCGGGTCCCTCGGGGCGGATCCAGCGGGAAAAGCGGATCCGGAGGGGATCCGCTCCCGGATTTCCGCTCCTGGATCCCGGATTTCTGCTCCCGGATCCCGGATTTCCCTTGCTGGATCCCGGATTTCCGCTCCTGGATCCCAGATTTCTGCTCCCGGATCCCGGATTTCCCTTGCTGGATCCCGGATTTCTGCTCCCAGATCCCGGATTTCCACTCCTGGATCCCGGATTTCCACTCCCGGATCCCGGATTTCCCTTGCTGGATCCCGGATTTCCACTCCCAGATCCCGGATTTCCCTTGCTGGATCCCGGATTTCTGCTCCCAGATCCCTGATTTCCCTCGCTGGATCCCAGATTTCCCTTGCTGGATCCCGGATTTCTGCTCCCGGATCCCGGATTTCCACTCCTGGATCCCGGATTTCCCTTGCTGGATCCTGCATTTCCCTTGCTGGATCCCAGTTTTCTGCCCCCGGATCCCGGATTTCCACTCCTGGATCCCGTTTTTCTGCCGCTGGATCCCGGTTTTCCCTGCCCAGATCCCGGATTTCCACTCCTGGATCCTGGATTTCCCTTCCCGGATCCCTATTTCCTGCCCCTGGATCCCGGTTTTCTGCCCCCGGATCCCGGATTTCCATGCCCAGATCCCGGATTTCCCTCGCTGGATCCTGCTTTTCTGCCCCTGAATCCCAGATTTTCACTCCTGGATCCCGGATTTCCCTCGCTGGATCCCGGATTTCCATTGCTGGATCCCCATTTCCTTCCCCCGGATCCCTGTTTTCCATGCCCAGATCCCAGTTTTCCATGCCCGGATCCCGGATTTCCGCTCCTGGATCCTGGTTTTCTGCCCCCGGATCCCAGTTTTCCATGCCCGGATCCCGGATTTCCGCTCCTGGATCCCGTTTTTCTGCTCCCAAATCGCCTTTCCCCATTCCCACAGGGAATTCCGGGATTTTTCCGGAACAGGAAAACCGGGAGCCCACGGCGGGCCCGGAGCCATCCGTGGATTTGGGATCATCCCGGGAAAACCCAAAAAATCCTTCCGGGAATGCCCAACCCCCTCCGGCCCAACCGGATTTCAGGGATCAAAAACCTCCCCAAAATCCACCGGGAAAGCCGGAAAGGTGGAAAACCGGGAATTGCCGGATCTCGGGAATCCCCAGAACGATTCCCCAACGCATCGGGATCTTGGGATTCCAACACCCCCATATCCCTGAATCCTGGCAATCCCCGAATCCCGGAAATCCCTGAATCCTGGCAATCCCCGAATCCCAGAATCCACGGAATCCCCGGATCCCAGAACACCGGGAATCCCAGAATCCACGGAATCCCCGGATCCCAGAACACCGGGAATCCCAGAATCCCGGCAATTCCCAAACCCCAGGAACCCCCCAAGTCCCAGGAACCCCTGAATCCCTGGACTCCCCAAATCCCGGGAATCCCGGGAACCCCCAAATCCTGGGAATCCCGGGACCCCCTCGAATCCCAGGAACCCCTGAATACTGGGAACCCCCAAATCCCGGGAATCCTGGGAACCCTCAAATCCCGGGAATCCCAGGAACCCCTGAATCCCGGGAACCCCTGAATCCCATGAATCCTGGGAACCCCCAAATCCTGGGAATCCCGGGACCCCCTCGAATCCCAGGAACCCCTGAATACTGGGAACCCCCAAATCCCGGGAATCCCGGGAACCCCTCGAATCCCGGGAATCCCGGGAATCCCTGAATCCTGTGACTCCCCAAATCCCGGGACCCCTTTGAATCCTGGGAACCCCCAAATCCCGGGAATCCCAGGAACCCCCAAATCCCGGGAATCCCGGGACCCCCTCGAATCCTGGGATCCCCCAAATCCTGTGAATCCCCCGAACGCCGTGAATCCCATTAATCCCCAAATCCCGGGAACCCCCGAATCCCGGGAACCCCCGAACCCCTCCCTCCCTCTCACCTGCTGCAGGAACATCGGCACCGCCTCCTGCCCCAGCGCCGCCGCCGCCGTTCCCAGCAGGATTTTCTCCGGGCTTCCGCTCCCGGGGCTGCTCCCGCCCGGCACCTGCGGCGTCCCCGGCGCCTGCGCCGCGCCGGGCTCGGGGCTGCCGGCGCCTCCCGGCGCGGCCTCGGCGGCGTTCAGCACCGCCACGGGACTGGCCAGCGTCACCCCCTGGATCACCGTGGGCGCCGGCGCCGCCGAACCGGGGCTGGGCAACGTCCCGGCCAGCGACACCGGCATCTGGAACAACGCCGGGCCCGGCGCCACCTGCCCCGGCTGCAGCTGGATGGGCGCCGCCGACAGGATGTGAGCGGTGCCGGGCGCTCCCGGCGACGCCAGCACCGGGCCCAGGTTGAGCTGACCCGCCAGGTTTTGGTTGAGGAGCTGCGCCGGTAACGCCGGGTTGGCCAAAAGCTGCGCGCCGGCGCTTTGACCGGCGATGATGTGAGCCTGACCCGCTCCCGGCAGCAGCTGGCCGCCGACGCCCGCCGGCAGCGCCGACAGCGGCTGCGGCAGCGGCACGGCCGAGGCTCCGGCCAGCTGGCCCGGCAGCAGGAATTGGTTCTGGCCCTGGAACGGCTGCGCCGGGATGACGATGGAACCGCCCTGGTTCAGCACGTGCACGCTCATGGATTTGCCGAGCGCCGGCGGCTGCGGCGGCGGCGGCTTGAAGACGTTTTGGGGGAACCCTTGGAGAACCACGTTGGGCGCGGCTTTGCCGGCCATGAAGGTGAGGTTCTGCTGCGGTTTGGCCGGCGTTTCGCCGGGCAGAGCGCCGAAAGGTTTGGGCGTGATCTGGTAGAGCTTCTGCTGCAGCACGCCGGCCGGTTTGGGTTGGATCGGCGTCGGCGTGCGGTGAATGATCACGTTGGGCGCCGGCACCAACGAACCGCCCAACCCCGACGCCACCGCCAGCGGCTGCGCCGACGCCGCCGAAACTCCGCCGAACACCGAGCCGCCGTTGAGCGCCGCGCCCGCCGCCGCCGCCGCCGGGAGGCTCTTCTGGATCACCAACCCCGCTCCCGGCGCCGCGCCCGCCTCGGGCTGGGCGATGTAACCGCCCACGGCCGCCACCGGCGCCGGTTTGGCCAGCAGCTGCGGCGCCGCCGGTTGGTTGATGGCCATCACCTGCTGCCCCACCACCTGGATGGGTCCCAAGCCCAAAGCTCCGCCGGGGCTCCCGTTGGGCAGCCCGGGAAGGTTGGGCAGAGGTTGGATGGTGACGTTTCCCAACCCAACCTGCTGGAGGAAGGGTTGGACGCTGATGGCTTTGTTGACCACGTCCGGCGGTTGCACCAACGCCTGCGGCGCCAGCACGGCCGGGGGTTGCAGCCCCAGCAGGTCGGCGGCGCCGCCGGAGAAGATTTGCGGCGCGCCCTCGGCCGCCTGGACCACCGGCTGCAGCGCCGGGAGCTGGAAGGAGCCCAGGTCCAGCTCGGCCTCGGCCTCCAGGGTCTGCTCGGTGATGTTGGCCTCCTGCAGGCTCTGCTGGAGGATGTCGCACGGCTGCTCGGCGCCCGCGCCGGCGCCGCCGGGGGAGCCCAGGATGTCATCCTCCAGGAAATCCAGGTCCACGCTGGCCGGCGGCTGGCTGGGCTCCGAGCTCAGGGGGTTCCCCGCGGTCTCCTGGCCGTGGAGCTGCGGGAACGGGAGAGGGGACGGAGTTGGATTGGGGGGCAGGAGGGGATGGGGGGTGGGGAATGGGTGGGGACACGATGGGAGGTGATGGGACACGATGGGACGTGATGGGACATGATGGGACACAACCGGACCTGGCAGGACCTGACAGGAACCAACAGAACCCGGCGGGACATGATGGGATACAATGGGATGTGATGGGACACGATGGGACACGATGGGACACGATGGGACGTGATGGGATGTGATGGGATGTGATGGGATGTGATGGGACACGATGGGATGTGATGGGACACGATGGGATGTGATGGGATGTGATGAGATGTGATGGGACACGATGGGATGTGATGGGATGTGATGGGACGTGATGGGATGTGATGGGACACGATGGGATGTGATGGGACACGATGGGATGTGATGGGATGTGATGAGATGTGATGGGATGTGATGGGATGTGATGGGACACGATGGGATGTGATGGGACACGATGGGATGTGATGGGACACGATGGGATGTGATGGGATGTGATGGGACACGATGGGATGTGATGGGACACGATGGGATGTGATGGGACACGATGGGATGTGATGGGATGTGATGAGACGTGATGGGACGTGATGGGATGTGATGTGATGGGACACGATGGGACACGATGGGACATGATGGGACATGATGGGATGTGATGGGACACGATGGGACACGATGGGACGTGATGGGACGTGATGGGATGTGATGTAATGTGATGGGACGTGATGGGACGTGATGGGACACGATGGGATGTGATGGGACACGATGGGATGTGATGGGACGTGATGGGACGTGATGGGACGTGATGGGATGTGATGGGACACGATGGGATGTGATGGGACCCGGCAGGACCCAACGGAGCCCAGCGGGACACAACAGAACCCGACGGGACCTGGCAGGACCCAACAGGATCTGGCAGGACCCAGTGGAACCCAACAGGACCCAACGGAACCCAGCGAGACACGATGGGACACAACAGGACCCATCAGGACCCAATGGAACCCAGTGGAACGCAACGGGACCCAGCAGGACCTGGCAGGACCCAACAGAACCCGGCGGGACGTGATGGGACCCAGCAGGACCTGGCAAGGCCCCGCAGGACACAACGGAACCCAACAGGACCCAGCAAGACCCAAAGGAACCCATCAGGACCTGACAGGACTAAGTGGAACCCAATGGGACCCAATGGAACCCGGCGGGACCCAACAGGACCCAACGGGACACAACAGAACCTGGTGGGACCCAACAGGACCCAACAGAACCCAATGGACACAACAGAACCTGGTGGGACCCAACAGGACCCAACAGAACCCAATGGACACAACAGAACCTGGTGGGACCCAACAGGACCCAACAGGACCCGGCAGGACCCAACGGAGCCCAGCAGGACACAACAGAACCCAACAGGACCCGGTGGGACGTGATGGGACCCAACAGGACCTGGTAGCATCTAATGGAACCCAACAGGACCCAACGGGACCCAGCAGGACCCGGCAGGACCCAATGGAACCTGGTGGGACCCAACAGGACCTGGCAGGACCCAATGGAACCTGGCGGGACCCAACAGGACCCAACAGAACCCAACAGAACCCGGCGGGACACAATGGGACCCAACAGGAGCCAGCAGGACCCAACAGGACCCAGCAGGACCCAGCAGGACCCGGCAGGACCCAATGGAACCTGACAGGACCCAACGGAACCCAACAGGACCCAACGGGACCCAGCAGGACCTGGCAGGACCCAATGGAACCTGGTGGGACCCAGCAGGACCTGGCAGGACCCAATGGAACCTGGTGGGACACAATGGAACCCAATGGAACCCAACAGGATCCAGCAGAACCCCACAGAACCCAACGGAACCCAATGGAACCCAATGGAATCCAATGGAACCCCACAGAACCCAACAGGATCCAGCGGAACCCCACAGAACCCAACGGGATCCAGTGGAACCCAATGGAATCCAATGGAATCTGGTGGAACCCAACAGGACCCAGCAGAACCCCACAGAACCCAACGGAACCCAATGGGATCCAGCAGAACCCCACAGAACCCAACAGAACCCAACGGGATCCAGCAGAACCCCACAGAACCCAATGGGATCTGGAGGAACCCAACAGGATCCAACAGGATGCAGTGGAACCCCACA